TAGAAATATTAATTTATATACCAAATTACGCATAATTTATCTGAGAACAAGATCCTGAAGTCAGAACCAAGATAGAATTTGCGGTTTTGAAGTAATCTAACAAAAACCTGTCCTAGTTATGCCTGTCTATAGCTGTATATTATACATGTACTGTAATACTGTATAAGACTATTGTGATTCCCAGTTTAACTGATGCTATTGGAGCATAGATTTGTATACCGTAGGAGCTCTCACTGCCACATATTACAGTAGACTCTAATTAGACACATACTGTCAAGTATTACAGTAACTTCATATTATTTTAACCGTATAGTATAATATATACTGTACTGTACCAGTACATTTCTGGTGTTCCAATTTTTGGATACTTCCCTCTCGACTCCCTTTTTTTCTCCATTTCCGTCATTATAGCGACTGCTCTCTTAAATATCTCTTCCTTTATATTCAATATTACAATACATTTCATATGTATTTCCCCATTAATGAGCTCTTAATTCCTTGGCTTATTCTGTAGAAAAATCAATTTTCTATTCCCTAAGTCTTTGGTTTACTTTTTGCGGTACAGAATGCCATTCACTTTAGTTTGTATTTCTATTATTCATCTAAATTCTTATTATTCTCTAATTCTTATACTCTCTTATCTTGAATACAATTACCGTATGTTTTATGAACTTCCAGTCCTTCAGACATATCCGATGCGAACATACTTTCATATGACTTCACTCTTACAATCAGTGCATACATTGCACAACACATTCACTTTTGAAGCTTTTATTCATTTAATTTGAAAATAACATTAATTTAATGCAAATAACAATTGAGTGAACGATTCGATAAACTCGTTATAAAATACTGTTTCGTTTAGAGATTACTCTTTCAATTGTAACACAAATAAAACATTTAATAAAACAAAAACAACAATAATTGAGATTTGCAAACATTTCTACACAAAATATACACTATTTTACACCAAATACTTGTAATTTCAGATCTAAAGCATACAATCAATGCTTAAAACAGTATAAATCGATGCAACTATTGAAACAGTCTGTCAATCAGTCATTCAAATGATGGCATTCATGACAATAGCATTGAAATGAGTTTTTATGAGAATTATTACACGTATTCGCGCATTGAGCGCAACTTTGAGTGCCGTTCCGCACGGGAACTCCATCCACGGTGTCTGTGCTGTCCACCAGACGTACACTACGGGGCAGTTCGCAGACCTCGCAGTAGGTGAGCGCCGAGTGGTTCTCGACGGTGCACTTCGGACACACCCACCGCTCGCCCTCATCGTCGTCCCCATCGATCAAATCCCGGCCCCTATTGGCTCCCGATTGTGGGGCAGACATAATACGCGGTCTGCCAACGGGGGACGACATCATCGCCCTATCGCTACGGGGAGGCAATGGTGGCGCCGATGTTATAGGCCTTTCTATTGAGGGGAACGGCATCTGCTGTCTGTGCATATTATGCGCTGGTATTCTGGGTAAGAGCCGGTGGTGGACGGGTGTGGTGTTAGGTGTGGGCGGCACTTGACTTAACAGTCCTAATGAGGGACAGTAGACCTGTTGGTAAGTGTAGCGGACAGTGTGCAGGGGGTGTCTGTATCGGGGCATCTGTTGCACTGGATATGGGCGCTGAGGGACAGGCGGTGCCGCTCCGGACACGGTAGCGATGATGGGAACGGGAGGGCGGTTCGATTGGAGGACCCGGAGCTGGTTGTAGAAGTTGTCGTCCATTACACCCAACGCCATACGTCCCGAAGCATACAAATCCACTTCAATCGACAGACAGTGACAGTCAATCCGCAGCTGAAGGTTGTTCTCACGAAGTCTTGAGATCTTTTGGATCCAATCGATGGCATCGTTGGTGTCCTTCCGACGTCTCGACTCGAGTTTCGCCACATTTGAGCGCAAAGTCTGCAGATATAGCGTCAGTTTCGAGGACTCCGACCGGATGTGATCCAAACGAGTCTTTTGGTACGTCTTGAGCGCTGTTTACAGACAATGCAATCAATGATCATATCAGTGGTCAGGCATTCAATGGTCAGACAAACCCTCGACGTAATCGAGTTCTTGTAATCCATTCATCGTTGACGACATCCGCGGATGTGATGTCCGGTGATTAGGCTCTGCAGAGGATTGCCATGAGTTGTGGATCACGTGTTTTGGGTGACACTCAGACACTCAGCGGCGGTCGTTATCTCATCCGTCGTTTTGTTGACTTTTTGTTGACTTCTTGTTATCAGTTGTTGTCATCTGTTTCGCGAGATTGCAGTCACAGTTGTAGTCATTCACGCACGTAGTTATCGTTATAGAGCGGGTGGGGAGGCATTCATGGGCTTTCCGTAGACACTGCACGCAATGTGTGAGTCATGGAGTATAGGGCCACACAATACAGTGTAGTCTCGTCACACACTTTATGAATGTAAGCAAATGTTTAAATGCCAGAATAGTACTTCTCGTATATAACGTCAGTAATAACACTTTAAATACAATTATTCAATGTATTATAATGTATGGGGTCTCATTTTAACATTAATATTATTACGTATTCTATGAACATATAGTTGTGCAAATATTTTTTGAGAGCCAATCAGATATTGTGATTCATAACAGGCATAACTAATGAATATAAATTGGTACTTTTATACACACAACTTTCAGTAATTATAAATGAAACAAATAGGATAATAAGGTATGTTATCAGGAACAACTTTTAGTCACACCAAGTCTGGTATTTCCATTGGAATTTTAGAGTTGCTCACAACAAATGTTATGGAGATTCAGTTTGGGGTCGATTTTACAATAAAACTCATTTAATCAATAATCAAACAGAATGAAACTTTTTAAAATAATTAACAAGGTTGTTTGTATTTCTGAAGTTAATCTGGCTCATTTATCTGATAGTTTTAAATAGATAGCAAAACAAGAAGAATAATACAAATAAAATGTATCGGAATTTGCACAGAATTCCAACATTGGGGGCAGTAATTGGCGTAATAGGTATATACTCGTGGCCCATAACATGACTAATACATTGTGCGCTAACCGTAAACACGGCACTCACTGTCTCTGTGAGAGTGTATCAGCGGTGGAGTGAAGTACTGAGTGTTGTGTGAATTCACTCAACACATCGCGAACTGAAGCAAACATTGCATTACACTTACAGTGCATTTGAATGCAATATCGTATCAAATGCTAAACACTTTGCTATGAATTGGTGTGAAAACTAATACATCAATGTTTTCATTGCTTTTTATATGTATTTATATTTTCTTGTGAAACATGTGTCGAGTATAGTGTATACACATATCGGACAGTCGTATCATTTACCCGTTCAGCCAAATGAATGGTGTATTTAAAGCTATAAACACATAGACTGTCAGTCCCCTACTAAATAGACTATCAGACTACAGTTCCCCTCACACACACACATACACTGAAAACCGTAAGTTATATTTGTATTGAATTATGAATTGATTTGAATTCATTTGAATTGATTGTCATTTACTAGTCGTATATGTGTTTAGTGTATAAGTCGTGAAGTATTGCTACAAATGCTTATAAACTCCTCTATTATACTGTCTATCGATCTGTTTCTCTGCAAACACTCCACACATTCCGTGCATTCCTTACCACTCTCTCCCACTCACTCTCCCATTGCTAGAGTGCTCTCTCTCTCTCTCTCTCTCGTGTTTTTTATGATGCCTTTCCTAAGTCACCCCTCCCTTTAGGCCCCTCTTATGTTGTACTCCCTCTCACGTATTAAACCATCCCATAGTTGGGTCTCTCTCTCTCTCTCTCTCTCTCTCTCTCTCTCATTGCCTGACATATTAAGACACAATTGAATGCAAAAATATTTTGAGCTTAAGTTTGGATTTAGTTTTTTATGATCACTTCATCGGCGGTACTATTAATATGGATACGACTGAACACTACTTCTCAAAAGTCTTAAAAACATTTTTACGTCCAATACATACATAAGCAATAAGTTATGATATGTTTGGCATAAATCTCGCGTACTTTTAGTTATAGTTTTTGATTACAAGAATTTATTACACAATTGTTTTGCTTGTTATGTGTTTTGTGTTTGAAAACTAATTTTTGTTTTTCCGTTTCTATATTTACTATTTAGTCGTTTTTTGTTTGTTTTTTAAGTAAATTATAGTATTTCTAAAACGTTATAATTAATGGGAATTAGTTTAGAGTGTAATTAATTTTAATTAAATATATTTAATTAAAAACGATTATATTTTTTTGCCTATTTTTCGTAAGTTTTGCGAACAAATGGTACTTTAATTTACAATTAGTTTTAGTTTAGAAGCAAATTGCAGGCGAAAAGCATTTAAACTATTTATTTGGATATGAATTTCAGTAATAAATGGTATTTTAATTACAATTTTATTGTTATATATAATTGTAATCCAAAACAAGTGATTAGTTTTTTGCGCACAAAGTCTTACGAAAGTAAGAAAAAAGTGTTTTTCAAGTTTTTCTACTTTTTTCGCTCATCTCTTATATAAGAAAGGAATTCAACGAAAAACAAAATCTAAAAAACTTTTTTTGTTTTGTTTTACTTTTGCTGTGCTTTTTGTGTTTTAATATACGCTCTGAAGGGAAATAATTCATGAATTCTCTGAGATATAGTGTACAGAAAACGAGTCAATCATATCCTTAAATATAGTGTATTTTATAGCGATTTTTAATTATTACATAATGGACTGGTATGTTGAATGAGATAGAGGGCCCCTGTATTTAAATAGCGATTATTGCTGTGCATTAATAATAGCACCAATTGTTTGACTCATACCTGTCCTCAAATTCTCGCACTGGAATACCCTTCCCCTCGACACCACTTAAACCACTCATTGTTTCGGTTTTCTCAGTATATATAAGACACGAATGAAAAGTCTTGAGAACTCTTTTTCTGTGCTATTGTTTGCAAGACTTGTTGTTGCGGTGAAACACCGCCGAAGAATAGTCTCTTCTCTATAAACCGTATTATACTCTGTATATGAGATAATAATAACTTAATATCATATCAAATATTTGTGCCATTCATCCATTCATTCAAATGAATAACTCGTTTTTATAGATATCTCTGTATGTCTTCAATTTGATGTTCACCACAACCTCCAGTCTCTCTCTC